AAACCAATTACCATTAACAAGAGTTATGTACCATTTTGAAAAATTCACTATATTATATAAGGAATTAATTATACAATATGAGCTTTTATTCAGCAATTAATCCACGGGGAGCGATTAGACGGATTTTGTATAAAGAGGAAATCTATGAGCACCACAATATTAGCCGTATATAATTAACACGATATGAATAAAAAGAAACATTATTACAGGTTATTGCATATAAATCTAATAAAAATATAGAGACCGATGCAACAAATTTATATTTTTTTAACCTAAAAACTTTTTATAAACATAAACAAATGGTTGTAACCATCTTAACCATTTGAAATGTTGCAAAAGGAGAATCAACAGAATTATAGAAGATTCTCTTAGAAAAAAAGTTTTACTAATTATTATCACGTTATTTTTGTTAAAAAATTTGGTTATGAATCCAGTTTCTAATTTGTGGGATGGAACGGCGGCTTAAACATTTGTTTTTTATCATGATCTCTGTTATTTGTTTTTCCGAGGGTAGACGTTTATCCTTCAATTCACGTTCAAAATTTTAGTTACTGTATCAGATTCTTCTTGTATCAGCCTAATCTATTTGTTCTTTATTTTATACAGTATCAGCATATGGTGATACTGTATAAAATAAAATGTACAAAATAAATTGTATATTACGAGAAATCTAACATAGGGTAAGAAATATAATTATTTGAATATTATTCTCATATATGTACTGCTCTTCCTCTTACTTATTGCATCACAGATTGTGCGCCAGAATTATTGCCACTATCCACGTAACATTCTGTTTTCCATGTGTCGCTTATTTAAAATTAGTCATATCTGTGTAAATTTGCAATTTATCTTATTCACCGTGTTCAGTATTGACAACTTCTTTTTAAATTATTTTAAACTATCGTGACATATTTACTATGTCTATTTGTGAAATATACTGAAGACAATATTGTATATGTGTACATTTACAATGACGCCTATAATTTGTCAGTTGTTTTATATCAGGATCTAATAAATGCAACGTAATGCATTTGGTTACATTATATATTGTCGTCGCGCACGCGACGAATAATCAGAATGCTGCAACGTACACGCAATTCAGCGTTATAATTAGCAAAGGTACATTTATCGTATTGTTATATTAGAAGAATAAAGAAAAGACAATGCATGCCATGAGTTCTTGTACCAAGTGTAGAAGTTTAAAACCAGAATTTTTTTGTAAAAATTACACGTCTGTTGTTTGAAAATGATAAAAAATATTTTATTCGAAATAATGTCCATTGCTATTTATACATTTTTCCCACCTCTCCGGCAGTTTATGAATGCGACGCCAAAAAATCATTTCTTCTTTTGAAGCGAACCAGCTATCGAGCCATTTTCGTACATTTTCATACGAATTGAAGCGTTGTTCAGNTGCTCTTCATTTTTCACGTCAAAATCACCACTTTTGAATTTTTTCAACCACTCGAAACACTGTGTTTTACCAAGATCATGTTCACCGTAATCTTCGACAAGCATTCGATGCGATTCTGCATCAGTTTTCTTCAAATGATAACAAAAACCAATGCTGTCCGCAAATCGTAATTCGTAGGCACAAAACTCGACATGTTTAAAATTATAGAAAAATATACCTGTGTATGGAACTTGGGTTGATGTGTGTTGAAAATCTTCGTCAGCTATTAGAGGGAAATGATGGCGTTGCAGAAGTGGTCTCACGGTCCCTAAACTGATGGCTAGCACCATCTATAAGGAAATTCCGGTTTCGTACTTCTACACCTGTTATATTNTACACGTCTGACGCAAACGAGTAAACGGTCGGTAGAGTTGCGGGTAGCAGGCGCTGTGTTTTGACGCACGGTTTGTTGTCGCTTTTTGACAGCGTTGCGCTTGTCTCGGTGCTGTTTCTCCGCGATGTCGATTTAAACGAGCCGGAGAGTGCGACACGGAAACCACGCGCAGGTCGTACGGAAACGGAGGCACTGTCCGAGCCTCGGAGATCCCGCGGAGTCGGCACGGTTGGCACGGCAGCCAGGAGGCACCCCGTGGTATCGGGTTGCGCTTTAGTGTCGTCGTATAATCTCCGCGGAGGCCACCACACCAGGAGATCGCGAGAGATACGTCACGCAACGGTGCCGCCACCGGAAATACCTTGACAGCGCCTAGGAGACTTTCCCTCGCGAAGAAAAACGGGGCCGAGAAGGTTCGGCAGAGACGGCGAACGACGCCACCTCTTTACCTATTAATTCCCCTCGTCGAGGTTTGCTCCCGCGTGTGCTTAGCCTAACTTACGGACTATGCTTCGCTCGCTCGGTTGCTCGCGTGCAACCCGAGGTTGGCGCGGTGAACGCGAGGTACACGGTGTCCCTTTCGGTCGGCGGTGACTTGGCCAAGAATATTCGGCTGAGACGGCGCAGTCGCCACCCCGGCCTTGTCTTGGCCAGATGTCGGTTGGTCGGAGGTCGGATATACGAGGGTGGTCCCTGAAGTACCCGACCCAACAAAGAAAACACAAAAATTTTGGAAAAAATTGTATTTATTTTTCAACATAATCTCCTTTCAGCTCTATACATTTTTTCCAGCGATATTCAATAAGTTCGATACCCTTTTTATAATAAGAACTGTCTTGCTCTTCAAAATAGCCATTAACTGCCGACATTACTTTTTCATCGTTGGAAAATCTTTGACCACTGAGCCATTTCTTCAAGTTTGGAAACAGAAAATAATCCGAGGGGGCGTTTGTTGCTGTGAAACTTCTCTAAATACACAATTGAAACATCTTCACGACACTGTTTTTTCTCGAGTGTGAGCAAACGCGGCACCCATCTTGCACACAGCTTTCTCATGTCCAAATTTTCATATAATATGCGATGTACCGCACTTTTCAAATGCCTACTATGTCTGCTAGCTTGCCCACTTTCAGTCGACGATCATCCAGTACCGCTTTGTGGATTTTCTTCACCATTTCTGGAGTCGTCACCTCATTTGGTCGATCACTGCGATGCTCGTCTTGGCAGCTTGTATGGCCTCGTTTAAACTCTGCTACCCAATATTTTACTGTTGTAAACGAAGGAGCAGACTCACCCAGAGTAGAATCCAGTTCAGTTTTTATATTGGTTGGGGTGAGGCCTTTCAAGTAAAAGTATTGTATCACATAACGATGACCAATTTTCTCCATTTTCACAATTTCACTGAACACGTTCACTATTGATGGCTGCCAAACAAATACTAAACAACGTGACGTCTTCAAACTTGAAACATATGCTTTATAGATTGTGTACTTTCTAATACAGTTATATTTTTCAAACAACTACCGCAATCTCTAGGTCAGGTCGGGTAATTCAGGGACTACCCTCGTAAACCGGGAACTCCCCGAGGAGATGGCAATACACCGTCCCGAGGAATGATGGCGAGTACGGCTGCGGACGCGCAGCTGAAACGGCGAACGCACCGTTTCCGTTCCTCGGCAGAAGGATCTTAGGGTGCGGCTGCGAATACGCAGCTGAGACGGCGAACATACCGTCTCGGTTCCTTGGCAAAAAGGATCACGAGTACGGCTGCGAATACGCAGCTAGGTCAGTGAATGCACCGTCTCGGTTCCTCGGGCTGGAGGATCGGTATCCGGAGCAGCCTGTGAACGTATCGCTCTGGCTGACTCCGGCGGAATCGGCCTCGATGCATCCGCCGGTCGAATTTTATATCCGATGGCGTACCGGTGTTTATGTTTGTTGACACGCACGTGATCTTGCTTCTGGCGGAAGCGCGTCACGTGCGTTTCGTGTGAGGTAGTGTGGCGCAAAGCGCTGGTGAGCGACCCGACGAATGGTCGGTCGGCTCGCGATGAACAACGGTGCAAACGCACCGTTACATGCTTTGAACGAGGATAATGAAAGGTGCACAGGAATAAAGGAGACGGCTCTAAGATCACAAGCTTTTCAAGAAATGTTAACTTCAGAGGTCACCTATTTACGATAACTGGAAATTTTGGTAGAGGTAAATTTCAATGTAATTTTATTTAAATAGTCATGTATATGTTATTTAAATTTTATCATTAACGTATGTGTGTGTGTGTGTGTGTGTGTGTTTCTTCAGTTTTTCTTGCAACCTATTCTCGAAAAAATTTACTGAATCTTCCACTGTTTCTCACTCTATTGGACAACATATAAACGTTTTACAGTATAACCGGAGAATTAGAAACAGAATTAAAACAAAATCCTGACTGTATAGCCGAATTATTTTACAAGTTCGCATCATTCTTCAAGCTGTATTAGGTTAATGCTTAAGATAACACACAAGTGCTAAATCTGCTACAGGTAATTATCGAATATCAAGAGAATTTATTAATCTTTAAATGGAAAGTTAGGTCCTGGAAGAGTATGTACGCAACAAACATCGCTTACTCGTGCACTCGCGAGGCCTAAACGTACCGGTAGATCTGCAGATCAGGTCGAAGTCCGGAGAGGCCCATTTACTCCGATCGCAGAACGTACGTTAAGTGGTTCTTTATTTACGTCAAAGAACTTTATCCCTTTACCTGGGATAGGACTATATGAGAGTGTTGAAAGGGGAATTCAGATTTAAGTAATTGAATGGAAATGAATAAATAATTTTAACAACTTGGTTAAATTTAGGGCATTTTGAATAAAACAGTTTATTAATTATACTAATAACATAATTTGGTTCTCACATGGTTTAATAATATTGGTAAATTGATGAGAAAAGTCATTGTAAATGATACAATATTTAAAATGTAAAATGTTTATCTAAAGATAAAAAATGAGATATGTGGGTTGACATTAAACAAATTTTTATAAATCAGCATTATTGGAATAATGCAAATACAAGATGAAGATTAAAGTAAGATTAAATAAAAAAGTAATCCGTGCAACTTAATAAAATCGAATTTAACACAACAACAATTTTTAACATATCGGTATGGCGAGAAAAACATCATTATATAATATAAGGAAGATAATAATTACGCAGTGTATGTGTGTGTTTTGTGGAGTGAAGTGGGATTTGAGATTGGATTGAAATTATTAAAAGTCATGTTTAAATATGAAATAGAGACTTACGACTTAGGTGAATCAACTGCGGTGAATAATATGTAGAACACGTGTTCGTTGATCATGGTGTACTGGATTTATGGGATCCCGGAATACCGAGAGAAATAGTTCACTTAAGAGACCCCGAATTGCACATCAAGTTGTTCGGGGGAAATTCCGGTTTCTTACTTCTACATCTGGTAAATGATTGCAAAGGGAACATTAATATGTAGTTAAATGATAATTAAACACAATAAATTGACTTGTAATGAATTATAATGATTTAGAATAATAAGATATAATAAATTAATATAGTAAATGATATTGAATTATTATAAATTTTAATAATAAATATATATTCGTCGGTTTAACGAACATTCAAGTTTGGCATACGTTTGGCCAAGTCCAACACAGCACGCCTGCCGACTACATTCAGTGTTGTAGCTGATTTGATGTCGTTATTAAAGCGTATACTCGCCGCGAAATGGAATATTAATGATATCTGTAATGAAATGTAAATGTAATCTTCACAATTTCCAAGATCACGTTTGGGATCAGATTTCAAGTATCAGATTTGAGTAAATCATGTTCAGTGAACACCAACAATCAGTAACATCTCATAAATGTTATATTTATATATATATTTTTTTTCTCGCTTAACAATGTATCTGTTATATAACGCGCATTATATTTACATTATTGAGTGAGCAATCATAACATTGATGTTACGTTACTGCTCGTTGGTGTTTCTTGGGTATGTACTTTTTGTACGAGAAATTTTTTTGTTGGAACTTCACGATTAAATTCCTTACCTCGTGCGTTAATAAATCCGTGTCACCTTTCGTGAATCCCAAGTCTATTTCGTATAATTCGCCGACCACTGGCACGATTTTGCATGAAAGTTCTCTTCCTTCACTCGAATAGCTATGGTTCCGTCATATCGTCACGTAAAAATAACTTATGACAATGTTGTAAAATATTATTACGTATTATTTATGCTTACGGGACTATAAAATATCTCGTCCAGCCGAGTCGCGGCGCTCTCGTTTTTTTTTTCGAACACACCATTAGATATATCTTAGAGACGTCGGGACAACTTTGCAGCAATTTTTCTATCAAAATGTTCCCAAGGACACCCATTCTTCTTGATTTTATTCATATTATTATATTAGGTCTAGTAAAAAGTAATCCCATTATTTTTCCAATAGAGGGCTTTACTAATCTGTATCTCGCGTTGTATAAGTCCGATCGGATTACGCCAGATGGCGTTAGAAAGATAAGATTTCGTACTAAAAAAACCCTCTCAAACAGTTTTGTGATTGCTTGACTCAGTATTGTTTGAGCGCGCGTCAAAGATGGACAACAGCAAAAGGAAAATACGCCATATTTTACAGTTTTTTTTCGATAAAGGCGAAAACGCAAGCCAGGCGGCTAAAAATGTCAATAGTGTTTATGGTCTTGATACTGTAGGAGCCAATCACGCGCAACTTTGGTTTCGTCGATTCAGTTCCGGGAATTTTGATGTCANTATTGTAACTATGTTAAATAAAGCCTCCAATATGATACAAAAATAATGGATTACTTTTTACAAGACCTTATATTTTTCGATGATACACAATTATTGCTCATCGTATCACATATGATCGTGTTGCATTCAGACGCAGTTAATACCTGTAATGAAGATCGACTAGCTCGCATAGAACGTTTGTATTGGCGTTTGCCGAATCGTGACGTTGCTGTTCCTACAATGGACCATGTTAGATTTATTGTAATTGCTTGACGTCTTTATCACAGGTTACATAACACCGAAACATGAAAAAGGTATAGTTATTCGCGTATTGATATTGTAAAAAAAGGGCATTTATTGTTCGGACGGTAGATGGTACATCTTATGTTGAATACAGGAGTCTTAGTAAATATAGGTCGAAAACTCAATCGTTTCTGAGATATAAACAATTTTGTATATTAGTAACTTGGCTGTAAAAGTAACAATGTTCTGCTGAATTTTCAAATATGGTCTATTCTCGCTTCGATATTACAAATATATTCTCTTGATATTGCATTAACGCATTATCACTTGTTTCGATCATCACAAAACGATTTGAATTGGAAAATACTTGCATTTTTAGAAATCACCGAAAACCATCTTTCTTCCCTCTTCAACGTAAAACCGAGGTAGTTTTATCAAAGTTTTCATATGCTACCAAACTGTTCTGAAAATTTTATAGAAAATGACGATGATTACATAATTGATTAATAAAACGATTTTATATACAAAATTTCTTAAATTTTTGCACTCACCCAGTATTATAACGTCAACGGCTCTGAGATCGAGCACTCTCAATTGCGTGACTTGCGAGAGCAGCAGAGGAAAGAATATAAATAGTCGTCCCAAGCAGCACGTAAACGTTCGAGGAACGTTCGCTTTATATTCATTTGGTTTGGTTATTTTCAAACAAAGTGGGATCGAAGAACATACGTTTTAGAATCTTTATTATATATCTTACGTAGCAAAAGTGTCACAGTATCACAATTACGCTGCTCTGTTACAATCCATTTTTTAATTAAAATATATACATCTTGAAGTTTTATTACGTCTACATTTATGTATGTATAAATATGTTTTAGCAACTAATATATTTTTAAAATAATTTGTTATAAAAAGACATAAACTTCAAGATATATATATTTTAATTAAAACATGGTACTGTAACAGAACAGCATAATTATGATACTGCGACACTGTTGTTATATAAGATATATATTAACCCATTTACATAATGACTCTACTTACGTTTCTATGTTCAGACATCAGCGGCGTTCAACTAACGGTTGGCCCGTATCACCACGCGCGTATATCGACAGTTTTATTATTTTCGTTAACTTCTACAGTACACTCGTTCTATTGTGCACAGTAAACTTCTACAGTAAATGACTTCCAAAGAGTTTGTATAATTAATTTAACATAAATTTGTTAGGAATACAATGGAAATAGCTCAAATGCTCACAGATTGATGACAAAACTTGAACTGTGTCATATGTGGAATATTCCGCGAGCGGTGATATAAGAAATTCGCGGCTCGTGGAATATTCCGCGCTCGGTGATAGTAGACGATCGTCATGCGCGGAATATTCCGCTTGCGTATGCAATGGATTAAAGGTTCTAAAACGTATGTTCTTCGAACGTTCCAACTTTGTTTGAATATAAATAAGCCAAGTGAACATAAAGCGAACGTTCCTCAAACGTTTACGTGCTGCTTGCTATAGAGGGTAGAGATAGAGTTAATATACAATAGATATATAGAACATAAAAATAGATCAAGCTTAACAAAAATTATGTAATTAATTAAACAAATATTTCAATTTCCTAATTAAAGCGCAAATCATGTCGTGAATTTGAAAACGTTTTAAAATGATCTTTGATCTGGAGAATCTCACGATAACATTTGTCACCGCGAAGCAATGTTGCATCGGCTCGCCATGCAGTAGGCTCGCCAGAGGCGTCGCGCGATACATGCGCCCGTCGTGACGTCGATGCTTGCGTAGAAAAAATCCAGATATTATCTGTAGAAATGCATATGTAGCACTTATTCTAATTCTCTGCGATATTCCGTTGCGCAATAAAATCACGATGCGCACAATATCACGTTAATTGCCTATCCTCACTACGAACTCTACGGCTGGTAACATCTGAAGTCGATGTTTTTCCCCGATAAACGGTATCTCGGGAGAGAATTTTTTAATTTTTGCTCAACGACTGACGCTTGTTTGTCTCTGGTGAATGGTTTGCAATGGGAAATTTTTGGACTCGAAACTTGTACATGAAATAATATGACGTCGTCCTCGTAATATTACTCGTTCGCAGCGTGAAATCTTTGCGAAGAATTCGCGTGATAATGTAGAATGTTTGCGGCGGTGCAACACAGCGCGCGATCATAATATTTTTAAATAGATCGTGGTTGCACCGGTTTATCCTTCGCATTAATAATGTTCGACAGCAGGTTTGCAATATTTACGACTTCCACCGACGACGGGACAGTTTGTTTAACGCAAGATAATTGCTACTCTTCCTGCATTCAGACACGTTGCTTGTGTCAAATAACGAGCTGTTCGGGCTGCATCACAATGTTAATTCCGACGAGCTGCAAATTAAATCGCGCGGAATGATGCGCTTAGGATCGTAGCTTCGATTTCCTCTCTCTCTCTCTCTCTCTCTCTCTCTCTATCTTTCTTTCTCGTGGTAGCGTTGTTATTGCCAAAACTCGGACCTAGCGAAAGAGATTCACGGGATAAATAGCATGTGTGTCATCGCGATTTGCGTAAATTATTTTTAAAGAATCGATGACGCGAAGATAACACACGCAAGGCGCGAACATAAAATGCTATAGGGCCTCGCATACATTCTAATTGTTCAAAATTCTAATTGAAGTCGTTAATGTTATCATGCTCATCAT